GGGTTAGGTTTAGGGTTAGATTTAGGGTTACGTTAAGGGTTAGGTTTAGGGTTAGGTTTTATTTTTACATTTTTTGATCACAGCGCGATGTTTTCGTCGCGCTGTGATGACGTCAAATGCGCGCTTTCGTCGAGCGCGATTTTGTCCTCCGCGGTTTTGTGGTGGAACCAACTGTCCCACCTTTTTAAACTGTTCCCTGTTCCATTTTGGTTTCAGCTGCTTGGCTGTTCAGTGTTGATGTCAGCAGTGGCAACAAATCTGGTGTGGGCTCTGCGGTTCCGGGGGGGGGGGTGTATTAGCGTCATGGTGGCCGTGTCCTTATGTAAAAGGCAATCTCTGCTTCTTGGTTCCCCACCAAAATGGCAGCCCTGGGTTGCCAGGCACACCAGGGCTAACACATACATTTAAATGTTGTGCCCTGTTTGCAGATAATCATACAATTATTTGGGTATCACTCATCCTCAGACATCTCTTCAGCAGACAACCCAATTCTGTATGATTGGAACCCTCCATATTCTGCTCTATTTCTCAAAGTAGGTATTAAAGAATAATGTAAATCAGATAGTGGATCCCCCCCCCCCCAATTTATATTTCAGGTAATGGAGTGGTATCTCAGAGGCCAGAGAAATGGATATATTATCCCTTGCCTGCCACTAGTTAAAGAGATTTTCTTCTCCCATTCAAACTTCTCTTTGCATAACCAGTGTAAAGACCTGCCCCAGCTGGTCCCTCAGGAAAGTAAGACTCTTGAGTCTTAAGTTGAATCAAAAGAACTTTTATTGAGAGAAAGTGGATGCAGGAAAGCAAGATGGAATCTGAAAAGTCCTATGCAGAGCACAAAGCAAAACTTACGTTTCCCCAAACCCAACCCCCTTGACCAGTCCATGGGCAGCCAATGTGATGCCACAAGGTTGTTTTGAGAATGCTGAGGTGCTAGGTAGATAACAGTTCTCCCTCAGGGTACAATGGCCTTGAAACCAAGCTGGAACCAGCTAGGAGAGAATCTGTTCCATCTCCGAAGACAATCCCACTTCCTAATTCCCAAGCAGTTACAGTAAAAGCAAAAGCATGCAAAATGCCAGCACGCACCCACCCACCCCTTCCAACAGAATGGCAGGACATGTTGGTGTGATATGCTGCCCCTCTGAACAGTGACGCTAGTTCTGGAGAGAAAACATAAAACAAGGGAAATGGATTTGGGTTTATCAGGATACTGATTATGGAAGTGTTTGACGGGTTTAGGGGCTCTAACATGGTGATGGTCAACCCATTCATTTTCAGCTGTTGAGAAATCTTTCCAGACCACCCTATGCCTGTGGTGGTGAACCTATGGCACGCGTGCAGAGCCCTATGTGGGCACGTGCACCGTCACTCCAGCCCAGCTCCATCGGATTTCTCCATCGGATTTCTCCATCGGATTTCTCGTTGTCTTTTGCAGGGAAACAAAATTTTGTGGGACTAAAAAAAAATTCATTCAATCAATTCTAACTTCTCATGAAGTTGGAATTGATTGAGTGAACTTTTTACTCCCACGCTTCATAATGAGGGAGATGGGGTCCTCTCCTCCTAAAGCTCATTACGATGCGGAGCCACAATGCGACCCTGTGTCATCTCAGTTCGTTCTGGCCTCTCGGATGTCAGTTGCTGCCTGTGTTGGGATGCTCTGCCTCCCCGCTGGCCAGCTGAGCATGGGCCCGCTGCTCCTGGGCTCATCAGCCTATGGACATCAGATTCCCACCACCCAGCACCAGTTCATGGCTTCCTTTCCCCCCCCCCCCAGAGAGAGAGAGAGGGAGGGAAAGAGGGAGAAAAACAGGCAGAGAGAGAGAAAGGGGGAAGAGGAGAAGAGGAAAAGAAAGAGGGAGAAACAGGCAGAGAGAGACAGAGGGAGGGGGATGAAAAGAGAGAGGAGAGAAAGAGGGAGAGAGAAAGAGAAAGAGAGGGAGGAAAGAGATAGAGAGAAACAGAAAGAGAGGGTAGAGAGAGAGAGAAAGGGGGAAGAGGGAGAGAGGGAAAGAGAGAGAAGAGGGAAAGAGAGACAGGAAGGAGAGGGAAACGGGGGGAAGAGACTGAGACAGAGAGAAAGAGAGGAGGGAAAGAGGGAGGGAGGGAAAGAGACAGAATGGGGGAGGGAAAGAGAGAGAAAGAGAGTAAGAGGGAGAGAGAGAGGGAGGGAAAGAGAGAGAGAATTTCCCAGATTTCAAAATGCTGCTCCCCTTCTATCATTAGAGGCTCCAGGGGTGTGAAAGTTTAGATCTAAGGGGAGAAATAACCTGAGGTTCAATAAGCTGCAATGAAACACAGGGTGAACTTATCAAAGGCCAAGTCATGCTTGTAATCGTTACCTACAGTTATGGGGTTAATAATACGTTTGATTGGGAAGGACCCCAGTTTCTTTGATGGTTATAGAGGCTGCAGGAAGTGGATTAAAAGGTCACGAATCTTAAAACAGTTTGGGTTTCTCATGCTTCTTGTTGCTTGCTTCTTATAAACCTCATGTGCATCTGCCAGAACCTTCTTCAACACCGACCACGTATTTCGCAGTTGGGAGACCCACTCTTTCAATGATATGACTGGGAGGTCATTGAGGGGCAATTCAGGCATAGGATTGAAGTTCTGTCTAGTAGCCACTCTAAGAGTGAATCCTGTACTACTCTGCATAGAATTATTATATGCCACTTCAGTAAAATGCAATAAATCTATCCAATTATGTTACTAATAATTGGTATAACACCTGAGATATCGTTCCAACACTGAATTTACACATCCACACCCCCCCATTAGTTTGGGGATGGCGTGACGAGCTAAGCCCCTGGTCAATCCCAAGTAGGTAAGAAATGTCCTCCAAAAGTTTTGGAATTGCACCCCTCTGTCTGAAATGATACGTTGGGGTGCTCCATGTGGTCTGTTGACATGGTGCAAAATTAGTATGACCAAATTAGTATGTGCTGAAAGAATCTTCTGACATGGGACAAAATGTACTTCCTTAGAAAATAAATCAGTTACCACCCATATAACTGTATTCACTGAACTTTTTGGAAGTTCGATAATAAAATCCATGGAGATCTCTTTCCAGGGTGCTGAAGGCTCTGCCACTATTTGGAGGAGCCCTGGGGTTTTTCCATGCAGTCTTTGGCTGAGGCGCAGACATGGCAACTTGCCACATAAGTTTCAATGTCCTTTTTCAGAAACAGATACCAAAACTATTTTTTAATGAGATGCAAACTCTTTACAAAGCCAAAGTGTCCAGTGGCCTTAGACAAGACCATCAGCATCTGGCTCTCCATTGCATATAGTTTAGTTCCCACCCTGGCTAGTCCGTCCTGGAAAGAACAAACATTTTCATTATCTTGAAGCCATTTGTCGTCCTTGAGGGCGGCTTTAAGTGCGGCTGTCACCTAATGGACAAATTTATCATTTTTCTTTTGCTTGTGCTCGGGAGGTAACTTGGGCACACAGTTGACTGGATGAGAGTAGAGATTTGACTATATATGCTTTAGGGCAATTGTATTGACACATTAGGGATAAAGCATCAGCCTAGAAGTTTTTGTCCCCCTGGGAGATAGTGCAATGGGAAATTGAAATGGTTAAAGTACTGCACTTATTGCACCTGCTGTGGGGTTTTTAGTGCCTCTTAAGTTCTTGTGGTCAGTCCATACTTCAAAAGGCACCTTGCCTCCCTCAAGGAAATGCATTCAGGTTAGCAGTGCCCAACACACCAGTTTTCTGGAAGTGTAAGTGCAGAGTTGCAACTGGCCACTATCATTTTTCTGTAATAACATAACCCCATGGAGACATTGCTAGCATCAAAAGGATGTTTGGGTTGGCTCAGCCACAAACGATCCTTTG